ACTTGTGATTTTTTTTTTTCTTTTAAAGAAATACCAGAAACTTGCTGGGCTAAATTCGTTCCCTTCCTTTCTGAAATAAAAAATTCGAATAGACATAAGTCTGTGGAACAATGGCATCCTGAAATAAGCCCAAACGCATACAGTGAAATGATTTTAACAAAGATGCCAAGGTAATTCCGTGGAGAACAGCCTTTTCAACAAATGGTCCTGAAACAGGCCTAATGTGTGGGCGTGTGTAGGGGGTGGTGGGTGGTGGCGGTGGAGATCCCTTCACCCACCAGTAAGTAATTCTGACATCCGCAGGGTGCCCTTTAAGTCCACTCAATTCCCACCGGTTCAGTCTACTCAATCGCCCTTTCCCCTACAACACTTCAGAACCAGCTGCAAACCCACTAGTTATAAACAGAAGTTCCCACAACCTCCCTCCTGGGGGCTCTTTCCATGAACCTGACAGAGTGGCTCACAGAACTCAGACCAAGAATGAGGAGTCACCTACACTAGTTAACAAGGGACAGTTACCCACAAACTAATTGTAGTCACTGTCATCTAGGGAGAGTCTAATATAAATTGTCTATCCATGTTCTCTAAGTGTTCGGTCCTGGGAACCCTTAACTCTACAAACTGGGGAGGCCTCATCCATTATCACTGGTCCATTTGTTTGGTGAGGATGCCCAGTCTTGAGGCTGAACTTCCTTTGGAGCAACAGACCTGAGTTACAAGTGTATTGCTGGGCATCTTTACCTGAATGTCTCTTAGGCACCCCTTTTAGGATCACATATGGGTTTTTACTAGAGTAACTACCACAATCTAGCAAACTGCCCAATACCTACTTAACGTTTAATAAATATTGAATGTTAGTTATGTAAGTACAGCTCAGCTAAGGGAATGCTAGGCTGCATTGGCGGCAGTGGAGTGCTCAGAATGTTTAATTCTGGTCGCCATGTTTAGAGGTAGACATTGAGGAGGTATAATGTCCACCTGACAGTGTCAGGTGCACTAACACTGACGGCCTTAAGGAAAGGCTGAGGCCGAAACTGGTTTGGCTCAGTGGATAGAGCATCAGCCTGCGGACTGAAGGGTCCCGGGTTCGATTCCCGTCAGGGGCATGTGCCTTGGTGTTGGGCACGTCCCCAGTGGGGGGTGTGGAAGAGACAGCTGATTGATGATTCTCTCTCATCAGTGTTTCTAACTCTATCCCTCTCTCTTCCTCTCTGTAAAAAATTAATAAAATATATTTAAAAAAAAAAAGGCTGAGCGCTCAGCTCCCTATACCTCCGAAGGGTTACACAGGGAGCAGCTGACAAGGCCTGCTGACACCCCAGGTCTCCGCCCGTGTTGACATGAACTATAACTTACACGAATAAAAGCAAAGCACTGGAAACAATTCCCATTTTCCCTTCCCTTAAACCAGAGTGGACTTAAGGTTACTTTCCTAGTGTCGCTCCTGCCCACTTACATTCCAATTTGCTTTGCTTTGCTAGGGGCAGAGTTACAGCCGATGGTCTCCAGACAGGGTAGAAGCCACAGCCTACCTTATCTCTGCCTCCCCACCAGAAGATGCTGCACAGAGTATTATATGTTCTGGGGGGAGGGGATTCAGAGGACTGCCACCTGAGATCAGGAGCTCCTCCAGAGCACGGCCCACGGCCCTCATTCCCTAGCTACCCACCCTGTCGGCCGGTTATCAGATGCCTGAGGAAAAGGAGAGCCAAGGTTTGGGGTCAATGGCAGAAGGGAAGGAAGAGAGTGGAAGAAAATGCGACTTTTTTTTTTTTTTTTTTTTTTTTTTTTTTTAAGGAATGAAGGAAAGAGAAAAGTAAATAAGGCTTATTTCTTAGGACCTGTAAATTGGATTCAGTTTTCAATGGGACAAGCAAATATAATAAAACTGCAGTAAAAGCTGCTTTTACAGACTCTAGGAGTCTGGACAGGATGACTTCTAATCAATGCAATGACTTGATCTATGATTTTAGGTTTAATTTCTCCAACAAGGCTTTTGAGTTCATAGTGGCATTAAATAAATACTTATTAAATAGAATTATAGTCCAAAATAACACCAAAGGGCCTCGCCAGTGTGACTCAGTGGATTGATCGAAAGGTTGCTGGTTGGATTCCCAGTCAGTGTACATGCCTGGATTTTGGATTTCAGGGCTCAGCTCCAGCCAGGGGCATGCACTGATGTTCTATCACTCTCTCCCTCTCTCTCTAAAATAAACAAAAACATATTTTAAAACAACACCCAAGAGGAAGCAAACTGATGTTTCACTAAAAATAAGTTTGTATTACTTTCTTTCCCCCCCTGTAATTTTGTAACATACTTAAAAAATAATTCTCATTGTTGAAAGTATTACATATGGCTCTCTTTCCCCCCTTACTTTCTTAACTGGGTCTTCATAGTTTCAAGAAGAGACTGGCGGTGGGTTTGCAAAATCCAGCTTCGGTTTGTTTCCTTGTAAGATGCTCTGTGGCTTAGTTGGCACTGTACACAGCTGAGGTAATGTGGTTTTTTGTTTTTTTTTCTTTTAGAGAAATAACAGAAACGTGCTGGGCTAAATTCTACACATGATTCACATTCAAAATAATTTAAGATACTATTTTGGGGGTGGGGAGATGAAAGTGTTTATTTTCTCTAAGAGAAGCTGGAGAGGTCTTTTTGCTTTGTGGCGATCCAAAAAAGGCAAACCAATGAAGGTGAAGAAATCAGCAAAAGTCACAACAGTAACCACTGCCCCGCCCCCCAATATCTCAGTAATCAAAGATTTCCCAACGTTTTGGCCCTTCAAAATATAATATGAGCAGTCTGTCATAAAGCAGGAACCGGTGACCTCCAAGGCTAGCTGTAACTGTTCTCCGCTCAGCTGATGGGATTCTAAGCGCAGAGGCTTTTGCTGGCCCTGTGCTACCTGCTTGGTGCGTGCCGCTTCCACCTCATAAACAAGGAGCACAGGAATATCAGGACAGTTTGGTAACTTTCACTGGAAGAAGACATTTTTAGTCTTTTACTTTTTAAATATTATTTCCATGTTGCCCACTGACACTGGCCCAAACGCTATGACACTGCAAAACTGGGATCATATAAACAGTGTCGTTTTTTACACTTGATTTTGCCCATGCTGGAGAAAATTAATAAATACACTTAACATTGTATTTTTACAAATAAAGTGTTTATTAAAAATAAATATACACGTTCCACTTCCCCTGGGCATGACCCCATTTGTATAGGAAACAGTCTACATTTGTCCGTCCCTCTGTTCCGCTTCCTGTTGGCACCTCCAAAGAGGACAGGCACCAGGATTTTGCACTCAGTAGTTGAGGCCTCCGGGCAGACTACCCACTGTGACCAAAAAGTGGAATATCTCTTCTGATCTGTCATACAGTTACCAAGCCAAGAATTCCAGAAAAAGTGTCTAATCCTTCATCTGCACATCATGAAAACATGGTGGGACCCTCATAACCTGCACAGTGTGACCAGAACAAAAAGCACAAAAAGACTCCAAGTTGGGGAAAAGATGTAATAAAGACGCTTGGATTAAAAAAAGCACATGCTCCTCAATTCTCAGGAACATCCCTCTGGGGAAGGCGACACAGAAAGCGGCTGGACATGAAGAACCAAGCCCCCAGGCTGTGGCGAGGCCCAGGCCACGGCTCCCTGGTCCCTGCAGGGCGCTGGCAGGAGCGCAGGGGCATGGAAGCCCCCTGGACCAGGCAGCCATGAAGTCCTAACGCCACAGCTGTTTCACACTAAAACGTGCGAACCATTGTTTGGTTAAAGATGGTGAGACAATGTTCTAAGACAGCATATTTTAAATGCTGGTCATTGCTACTAACTGAAAACAAACTGTCCACTGATCTGATGCACGCAACCCTCAGCCTTGTTTCCAGGTCGGTGCCAGTCTGCATTTTACGGATGATCTAAATCTAAAACATCTATGCCTGCGCCTCGGGGTGCCTGGGTCACACCGGGCCTGGCACACACAGGGTCCCCCACCTCCGCAGGCCGCCCTCCCCGCGGAGCTGGCTCCCAGGAGGGGGTCCCCGGAGAGGGTCCAGGCAGGGGGAGGCCGACCCGCACGCCACTCGGGCCGTCGCGGTGCCCAAACGCAACGCATTGGCTCCGAGTCCAGCCGGGCGGCGGGGGTGGGGGTTGAGCAACTCCATCCGAGCAGCAAGGGACCAGTCCCGGGGGGTTCGGGGTTCCACCCGCGCAGGGGACGGCAAGGTTAGCAGACAGCGGCCGGCCGGCGTCCCAAGCGCGTTTCGGCTCAGACCGCGCTCCGAGCCGCCGCGGGGTGCGCTTCGGGCGCTCGCCCGGGTCCGCGGGCCCCGCCGCCGCCGTTCGGGGCGCCGCTGCGGAAGGGGAATCGGGGGAGGGGGCGGCCCGGGAGAGGGGGCGCCGCTGCGGGAGGGGGATCGGCGGGAGGGGGATCGGGAGGCTCAGCGGGAGGGGATCGGCGGAGGGGATCGGCGGGAGGGGGTCAGCGGGAGGGGGATCGGCGGAGGGGATCGGGAGGCTAGGCTGGAGGGGATCGGCGGGAGGGGGAATCGGGAGGCTCAGCGGGAGGGGATCGGCGGGAGGGATCGGCGGGAGGGGATCGGCGGAAGGGGATCAGGCGGGAGGGGGATCGGGAGGCTCGGCGGGAGGGAGGCTCAGCGGGAGGGATCGGCGGGGAGGGGATCGGCGGGAGGGGGATCGGCGGGAGGGGATCGGGAGGCTCAGCGGGAGGGGATCGGCGGGAGGGGGATCGGCGGGAGGGGATCGGCGGGAGAGGATCGGGAGGCTCAGCGGGAGGGGGTCGGCGGGAGGGGGATCGGCGGGAGGGGATCGGGGGGAGAGATCGGGAGGCTCAGCGGGAGGGGTCGGCGGGAGGGGATCGGCGGGAGGGGATCGGCGGGAGGGGATCGGGAGGCTCGGCGGGAGGGGGTGACCCGGGAGAGTCCGCGCTGCCCGGCGGCCGGCGCCCTCCGCGCGCAGGTGGGCGGGCGGGCGGGGGCGCGGGCGGCCGCCAGGGGGAGCGCCTGCGCCGGCGGCGGCGGGGCCTCGGCGGGTGCGCTGCGCGGCGGCGGCGGCGGCGGCGGGCTCCCTCCCGCGTCCCACCTCCCCGTCCGCCCGGCCGCCCGCCCCCTCCGCCCCCTCCGGCGCCATGCGCAGGCTCAGTTCCTGGAGGAAGATGGCGACGGCCGAGAAGCAGAAGCACGACGGGAGGGTGAAGATCGGCCACTACATCCTGGGGGACACGCTGGGCGTGGGCACCTTCGGCAAAGTGAAAGGTGAGGCCGGGCCGGGCGGCGCCGGGCGCCGGGCTCCGGGCCCCCTGCATCCCCGCCGCCGCCGTCCCCGCCTGCGGGCTCCGCGCTCCGTCCCGGTCCGGGCGGCGGGGCTGCGGCGGCGGCGGCGGCGGCGGGGCGGGCGGGGCGGGGGCGGTCGCCATGGCGACGGCGGCGCGGCCGGGCGCGTGGGGGGCGGCGGCGCGGGGGGCGCGGGCCCGGGAGGCGCCCATCGCCGGGCTCCGGGCCAGCCCATCGCGCCGCGGGCACCCGGGCATTGTCCGCAGCTCCGTCCCCTCCCAGGCCGGCGTCCCACCTGCTCTGGCCGGCGGCTCCCCGGGGCGGGGCGGGGCGGGTGTGTGTGTGTGTGTGTGTGTGTGTGTGTGTGTGTGGATCACGGAATTGAAACACACAATCAGAAAGGCCGCCTGGTCGGAGACGATGCCCCGGTTCTCGGCGGCGCTGGAGGAAGGTGACCTGGCCCTGCCGTTGCCATGCGCCGCGGTCTCTGTTCGGATGCGGACTCCGTGCCCCCTGGGCTCCCAGGACCGGGGTGCAGTCTCCGTGCCAAAGCCGGGCGGCAGGGCGGGGGTGGCGGCCAGATAGAACTGACCGGTCCGTGCCTGCACCTCCTTTCCAGTTACTTCCACGGGGATACTGACATGTTAATACACAGTTTAGTGTGCATCATCAGACAACATGCTTTCCAATGAAAATGTGGACTCTCTTGCCCAAGTGTTTCAATACAGCGGCCTGGGAATAGAAACGTGCTCTCCAGCCCTCCCGTTCTGGCACAAGAAGTTTAATTTGCAAACTTTATGAGGCCTAATTTCTTTCTTTTTCTTCTTCTTCTTTTACATTCAGACATTTGACTGTGTTAATGAGGAATTCCAGAGGAAAAAAGTAGGGAACGTACCTAATTCGTTAATGGACTTTGGACAAATAATAGTGTATGACTTGCGCATAAAGAAAGAAATGTTTTTGAAAAGTCTGTACAGTGAATGAACGAACCTGAGTCTGCGCCTCCGGAGCTCAATGCACATTTTCTGATTTTGCCTAGGGATGGAAGAGGAGGACCCGCCCTTCTCTTGCCCTTTCTGAGTCATAGGACTGGAACGGTGCTGTGTAGCCCGCAGGGAACCCGCTGCCCAAACCTTCTTAGGAGACTCAGCAAGGCCAGCAATGTAAGAAAGGAAGAGGCAAATGCCAGGGTAGGGCGATAACACCCCGCAGGGTGGGTCTGTGCTAGGTCAGTGAGGCCGTTCTGTGCCCTTGGAATTATCTGTTTATTTTGGCTGTGCTGTCTCTGTACATGCTAGCAATTGCAAGCCACCTTTCATTTACAAGTGTTGCTCAGGAATGCTCATTGATGACCCCCAAGCAGCGATGACAATAGCGATGTCCTCACCTCCCCCACCGTTCTGCTCCGGTTAGGATGCTCGTCCTTCTCCTAATGTAGACATGAGCAGTCAGGTGTGTCTGTCTGTCTCCTCTCTCCCTCTCCCTCTCCCTCCCCCCCCCTCCCCCCCCTCCCCCCTCCCCCCTCAATTTGCTAGGAGGCTTTTGGCATGGCAGATAGGAAAGCAAGAGGACATTTTTTGTGTCCTGGATTTGCTCTGTGATGTGGTTGTGTGCCATGAGCAACAGTGACTGCTGTTGCTTAATTTTCACTCCTCCACATGCGCCTCACACTGTCAAAGTCGACAGCATCACAAAAGTCAACAACGTCACCAAATATGGAAAGGCCTCTATTAGCCAGGGGAACATAGGTTTCATAGCTATGGTTCAGTTTGCTCATAAATGCATTAAGTGGATGTTGGTGAGAATCGTCAACCAGTGCATTTTTTAAAAATCACCACCAGAGGACTTGTTTACTGATTTTATAGGGAGAGGATGGGAGAGAGTGAGAGTGTGAAAGTGAGAGAAAGAAAAACAAACACTGGAGTGAGAAACATTCGTCAGTTGCCTTCCGTAGGGGCCCCAATGGGGACCGAACCCACAACCTAGGTACGTACCCTGACCTGGCATCGAGCCCATGACAGCGTTCCAGCCAACTGAGCCACCTGGCAGGGCTCAGCCAGTACATTTTTAAGTTGTTAAACAGTTGGGATGCTTTTTACCCCAAGTAATGGAAAATCCAACTCAACTGAGCCAAGAACATCTCTTCCTGTAGTGCTCTCTCCAGAGGAAGTGCTAGCGTACCTGTCACGAATCCCGTTGGCTCATCCAGTCCCTCAGGCTAGGAATTCCTGGTGCCAACTGGCTTCCGCTGTGTTCCTAAGTAGGCACTAGCCAGGGAGATGGAATTACCCTCGGAGGGATATGGCCACTCTTGGGTGTGTGTGTGTGTGTGTGTGTGTGTGTGTAGGGGAATCTTAGGAAGTACTTGGATAATATGAGGGAACAGGGAGATAGCTACACAGAAGTGGGTATTGGGAGAAAGTGGGATATAGCTGCTCAGTGGGCAGGCCAAAATAGCTACTATAGAGGTGATGCTGGTAACTTAAACTAGCTTTAATTTGGCAAGAATTCTTAGGAATAATATTAGCCATATGTAGGGTGTCCCCAAAAATGTTTACACAGTCATTTCTGTAGATTCTTTTAAATTTTGAAAATGAACAGTATGTTAATAAACCCTGATTTATAATCATTCAAAGTATATACAATTTTTTGGGAAACCTATTATCTAATGGAGACAATTTGGAGTAGATAGAGCTTTGAAAGTTAGTTAACACATTGGTAAATTTAACCCAATATCATATTCCATGCTTAGATGGAATTTAATTTTCGGGAAGGAGGGGACTGTAAATTTATAGTGATTATTTTGTTTCCTAATACAAGGAAAAAAGCTAATGGTAACATTTTGAGGGGAAAATTTAAACAGACAACAGGGTTAATTTGGAAATATGCTTGAATTAACTTGTATTACTTCCAAGGTTTTTCTTTTTTTCCTGGTTGTGAAGGTGTTAGTCCAAGATATTAGTCTCCTCTCCCTTGTTGGTCCACTCCCCTTCCCTCCCAGGTAGAATAATTATAACAGCATGAATGAACAAAGAGTCATGTGACTATTGCAGTAATTAAACTGGCAGCTTTTGTTAGTTTTCCAAGAGAAGGCTTCCTGTTTAGTGGTCTGGGTGTGTCTTTGGCAAATGAGTTGTTTATACATAGAATCTATTAAGTTGGCAAGTATTTCTACATAAAACTACAATTTCAGGTTAATAGGTGACTGTTCTCTTTGTGGATGAATAATAGTAGAAGTTATTTAAACATTTCTTTAAGTAAAAAATCTTACCTATGAACTAGAGCTATCTATCATGGATGAATCACAAATACGTAACAGTGGCCTAGTGCACGAAATTCATGCACATTAAAAGGGAATTAATTAGAGGAAATATTTTAATATTGCTATTTGTCTGTTCTCTATAATAGAAGTGTCAGGGAGGAAAGAAAATTAGTAAAATGTATATGAAAATCTCCCTCCTATCAGAGTCTGGGGCGCACCATGGGACCCAGAGTCAAGTCCACCCATGTGTGCCTCAAAATCACGCACAATCCAGACTCTGCTGGTCTCAACCACATCAAGCCCTTCAGGGCAAGGGGCACAGCCTTAGGTCCCCTGGCCCAGCGCTGGTTGGGGGCGCACAGCCTCAGGTACCCCATCAAGTCCCATTGGGTGGAGGGACGCAACCTCAGGGCCCTTGGCCCTTGGGCGGGGGGTGTGGCCTCAGGTCCCCTGCCTCCGGGGCAGGGGGCACCGTCTCAGGTCCCCCTGCCCCAGTGCAAGAGTGCGAGGGCGTGACAACCATTTGCATATTAGCTCTTTATTATATAGGATAGGTCACTGAAGCAGAAGTAGAAGGATATGTACACTCATGTTATTTATATAAAATTTAAAATTAACTTCTAGAAATTTATCCTATAGTTGCACTCGTATGTGAAATAATGAGTTATTTATTGCCATATTGTTTGTAAATGTAAAATATTGGAAGTAAGTTCTAATAGGACAAGTTATGGTTTATCCACACGGTGATATGCCTTGCAAACATGGAAGAAAAAAAATAAAAGCAAGAGACTATATGCAATTTAGGGAACAATTTTCAAGGTGTAGTTTTAAGAGGAAAAATAAGGGGATAGTAGAACAATGTTTATAATATACCTACCATTTATATATATAAAAAGCCAGTGACCGGAACACCAGAATGACCAGAACGAGCACTTGCTATGTCCCTATGATGCCTACTGTGACCAGCCAATTGCCCTGATCAGAGCCGGGGCTGGCTGGCCTACCTCCCATGGCCCTTCCCCCCAGCCGGCCCTGCCCCCGATCAGCCCCGCTGGCCATCATCGGGGCTGGCCAGCCAAACCCCACCCATGCAGGAGTTTGTGCACTGGGCCTCTAGTCTAATATATAAAAGGCCAGGGTTGTAACGACCCATCACAACCGGAGGTTGACCAACCCAGGAGTCCTTCAGTCAGTGCTGGGTTGCTGGGACGACCCAGCAATGACTACCCAGATGCAGCCTGGTGACCCAGCGCTGACTGCCCCGGGGGCTGAGACCCAGAGAGAGAGGCAGGGTCTGATCCGCAGTCTCAGTGGCAGCTGTTGATCAGTACTTGCCTCTCTCTTTCTCTCCTTTCTTTCTGAGCTTCGCCATCGGCCAGGCTTTTCTTTCTCCCGACCTCCACAGGGACTGCTCTTAAGCCCCACCTCTCTGATCAGGCCCAGAGATAGGTCTGGAGATGCTGACTGACATAGGAACCAACCAATCAGAACCAAACGTGGGTGCTGTGAAGAACCAATGACTGTCTAGGAGGTGGAGCTATTGATGCTGACTGTCAAAAAAACTGACTAATCAGAACCAAATGTGGGGGCTGTAAGAACCAATGGCTGTCTAGAAGATAGAGCTTTAAAAAAAAATTTAAAAAAATATGTATTTTTTTTATTGATTTTTTTTTTTTTACAGAGAGGAAAGGGGGAGAGATACAGAGCTAGAAACATCAAT